ATGTATACGTCTAAGATCTGAAGGAATGGAAGTTCCACTCTATACAGATGAAGACCACAATCACTATGTTGATCTGTATTTTGTTCTGCTGTATAAATTTAATCGCAAAGCTTTTTTAGATGAGGCAAGTATTTGTATGTTATATTTAAACTGTTTTTTGAGTGATTTGATAATTGGGTTGGTATTTAGATAGTTATGTATACATTTGGGTGATATTTTGTTTCCTTAGTGTCTGCTTCACTTAAAGAGGGCATTCAAGTTTGTAGCAATTGAATGGTACCAAACAGTTGTAGGGAAATTTCTTAGTTGTATTATTAGTATTGGGTTAGCTTGAAGATTGAGACACTTATGCAACTTGGGTTAGCTTATTGGGTTTGGGTAGTTACAGACCCAACCTCCAGACTTTTTGTTTACTAATTCTTTGTATAAAAGGGCCACTGAAAGAAGCCCTCGGTATGTTGATGCCATGGCAACATTTTAATGAAGTTTGCATGAAAAGTAAGAATGCAAAAAATAATTAATTTCTAAAACATATGCCAAACTTTTATTTCTGAGCTTTCAAGCAAGAGTTGTATTTCCTTTAGTGTTAAATGATGTTCTGGTTAGTATAATTATTTTTTTTCAAAACTTGCATCTTTCTTATGTATTGGCTTCTCAAATTCTTTTTGATGTGCAGCACTTAGTCCACACAGACTTGGTGCATTAAGAAAACAACTACATCAAAAAAAACAAAACAGCAATAATAAAGCAAAAATAAAATAATGAATCAGTGACAAAACAGTAGGATAATAAAACTAAAAATAGTTTAAAAGCATGCAGGATAACAGGAATATCTTGCTACTTCTACTTAATCCTAGGTCACACTACACATGAATGTTTTTTTTTTTTTTTCAACAAGTCGGCCGTCTCCCACCGAGGCAGGGTGACCCAAAAAAGAAAGAAAATCCCCAAAAAGAAAATACTTTCATCATCATTCAACACTTTCACCACACTCACACATTATCACTGCTTTTGCAGAGGTGCTCAGAATACAACAGTTTAGAAGCATATACGTATAAAGATACACAACATATCCCTCCAAACTGCCAATATCCCAAACCCCTCCTTTAAAGTGCAGGCATTGTACTTCCCATTTCCAGGACTCAAGTCTGACTATATGAAAATAACCGGTTTCCCTGAATCCCTTCACTAAATATTACCCTGCTCACACTCCAACAGATCGTCAGGTCCCAAGTATCATTTGTCTCCATTCACTCCTATCTAACACGCTCATGCACGCTTGCTGGAAGTCCAAGCCCCTTGCCCACAAAACCTCCTTTACCCCCTCTTTCCAACCCTTTCGAGGACGACCCCTACCCCTCCTTCCTTCCCCTATAGATTTATATGCTTTCCATGTCATTCTACTTTGATCCATTCTCTCTAAATGACCAAACCACCTCAACAACCCCTCTTCTGCCCTCTGACTAATGCTTTTATTAACTTCAATTAACAGCAACCACCCAGGGAGGTACTACCGTCCTTCCAAGTGAGTGTAAAACGAAAGCCTGTAATTGTTTTACATGATGGTAGGATTGCTGGTGTCTTTTGTCTGTCTCATTAATATGCAAGATTAGAGGCATGTCTTGCTACTTCTACTTACACTTAGGTCACACTACACATACATGTACATGTTTATTTATACACACTCATCTGAGTTTTCTTTGATTTTATCTTAATAGTTCTTGGTCTTATTACTTTTCCTTTTATATCCATGGGGAAGTGGAATAAGATTCTTTCCTCCGTAAGCCATGCGTGTTGTAAAAGTCAACTAAAATGCCGGGAACAATGGGCTAGTAACCCCTTTTCCTGTAAAGATTACTAAAAAGAATAAGAAGAAGAAAACATGCATGTACACACATATATATAACACCCATCTGGGGTTTCTTCTATTTTCTTAATAGTTCTTGTTTGTCTTTATTTCCTCTTATCTCAGTGGGGAAGTGGAAAAGAATCCTTCCTCTGTAAGCCATTTGTGTCATAAGAGGTGACTAAAATGCCAGGAGCAAGGGGCTAGTAATTTCCCTTCTCTATAAATTACTAATTTTAAAAATAAAATCTTATGTTTTTCTTTTTAGGTCACCCTTCCTTGGTGGGATACGGTCAGTTTGTTGAAAAAAAATTAGTTTAATAAAATAATGAAGTAGTAACAATAGTTACAAAATAAAACAGTAATGATGACAGCAGCAGCAGTACTACTGCTGCTACTGTATGTGTCAAGGATGAGCTGGTTGGTCATGTTTCCATTTTATCTGCTGAAGTCTTTAGAGTACAGCCTCTCCTCATTTAACGATGAAGTTCCATTCCTAAAACCACGTCGTTAAATGAATTCGTCGCTAAGTGAGGAGCATACTATAACGGTAGTTTGTGTCAACCATCTTTGATATTGTTTTACTGTCACCTTTGCACCATTTATAACATTTCTGGTATATTTTTAAATGTTTATACAGCAGTGTACTGTATATTGAAATAAACAGAATAGAGGAAATCAGCTCTAATATACATAAGGGTTTGAATATTGGTCAGAGAGCCCATCGTAAGTCTGAGGCATTGGTAAATAAGTACGTTGCTGAGTGAGGAGAGGCTGTACTTAGACTTGCTGTAACTATTACTTAAATCTGGCAAATTCAAGGTATCTACCCAAACCAGTCTGCTGGCTCTGCATATACTGTTGCACTTGCTTCATTCTGATTCTCATTCAGTGTCTTTCCTTCCATGTCAGTTGTGGAGACAAGGCTTCCGTGCTATCAGTGTTGGGTAACTTGACACACATTTAGCATAGCTAAGAAGTATCCCAATTGTAAATCTTAAATATGTATAGATATTTGATAGTAATATACAAATTTATTGGCACACTTGTAGATTACGGCTCTACTAGATGTGAATGAGGGTGTGAACCTGGTGAGAAGACTTGTCGCTAAACAGGACAAGGCAAAGGTCTGGAAAAATCGCCTAAAGACTGCAGACCTTGCTATTCAAATCTTCTTGGCTAAGACAATTGTCAAGACGTGCACCCATGACTTTTGGTATGTAGAATATTTTTATTAACTTTATTGGACAAGTGGAATATAGAAAATAGGACTGAACAATGCTTTAAGGTTTGAAGTAGCATTGTTCTTGTGTATAGTTGAATCTGGTGACAAGCTTACCATTAAATGGTGTTCAGGATAAGTGAAAAAACAATCATTCTTCAGAAAGGAAGATCAAATATTAACTTAGTCATTGTTATCATGAGAATTTTAAGGTATAGATTAAATGTAAGTATGGTTAAAACTAGGCAATAAAATTCTTGTTTTACTTCATCTCCAGGTGTGTTTTTCATGAATGGTGTGGTGTACAGGAAGCAGCAGCTGTTGCAGATGATTTGCTGAGTCAGATGATCCACAAGTACATGCAACTTGCTGAATCATCTCTGCATATATATAAGATGAGCTCCATATTATATATGAAGGTACTGATGAATATTTAATATATTTTTGCTTATTTAAAACTATAGCATCTCTCTAGCATTACTAAATATTTTTATTCTTGTTATTTTTTATTTATGTAGTGCTTTAATAATTTTATTTTTGTTGTATAAAATATAGTTTTTGAAGTACAAAACATGACTGTTTGTAGTCTGGTCCTATGAGTCACCATTGGAATCCTCCCACCAGTTTATGAAATCTTGGCTAAGGCTGCTAAAGACTTAGAGAAGGTGCTCAAACTACAAATTCTGAGATAGGAAACTTTTATTTTTTAACATGGATGACTTATTTTAAAAAAAAATGCTAGATGGTTTCAGTAGGTTGGATGCAAGTAGATGATATACAAGGCCAAAAACACTGCTGTCAGAAGTAGGGATTGGCTTATGTTCATCACCCTGCTAGCCAGAATTTCTGACATGCACATCATGAATATACATGGGAAATACTTGAATGTCAGTTCCATAATCTGCAAACTACCATAACTTATTGAAGTGAAAAATATGGGAGGTGGTGTGAGAAGCAGTGGGCCTATAGGCACAATTAAAGAAAATTTTAATTATCTGCTTATAGCTACAGGAGCAGAGCTATGCTCGTGGTGTCTCATCTTCTTTAATGTGTTCATCATATATATACATATATATATTTTTACCTTTCTATTGAGTGTAGCACTTACTACTTCATTCAATTTGTTTGATTCTTCTACCACTTTATTTGTAAAGAAGACCTTTCCAGTAACCTTTTGGTTTCATTTTTTCTTAATTTATATCTGTGGTCTCTTGTTTTTCCTTTTAAACATGGTAAACAGTTTGTCAGTTAGGCCTCAACTTAAAACAGATTAACCCTTTGACTGTTTCAGGCCCCTTTCTGAAACTCATTCTATGTCGCTAAATTTTTGAAAAAAAAAAAAAATAATTTTTTCTTATGAAATGATAGAGAATCTTTTCCTGATGGTAATGACACCAAAAGTTTGAAATTTGGTCGAAAACTCATGGAATTACGCTCCCGCAAAGTTAGCTTTCGGCGACATATGCGTATCGGCGATTTCACCGACTTTGAGCCCTATTTTCAGCCAATTCTGTTGTTCCAGTTGACCAAACTCATAGCTATTTCTTTAGAACTCCATTTTATCTATCAGCTGAGTACAAGAAACCTCCCATTTACCAATTTGGACTACCCAATATTGTGGTCAGAAATGGGCAATTTGGCCAATTTCACACAAACTAAAAAAGATGCCAATTTCAAAATAGGGTCCAAAATAAACAAGGTAGACATTCTTGGCACTAAAATAACATATCCTCTGTTCATTAGTCACATCTCTAGGCCCCTCTTATATTATTATTGCTTTCTATTTTGATTTTTTATTCATACAAAAAAATACAAAATTTACTGTTATGCAGACTACTGCATTATTGTAAAAATTGTATAAATAATATCAGTGCACTAGTGAAAGAATATTAGACTCCCCAGTTGACGTGTATTGGACGTGTGGTGTGATTTGTTTACTCCTGAACATTGGTAAAAATCGAACATTTCCGCTACTTTGAGCTCAGTTTCAATAAATAACAAAAAAGGCACAATACCGTGACTGGAACGATACACAAATGAACCCGCACATAAAAGAGAGAAGCTTACGTCGTCGTAAGCTTCTCTCTCTTATGTGCGGGTTATTTGTGTATAGCTCAGTTTCAAGGTCGTTTTCATCGTCAAAGTAATAAAAATCATCTCTATTTCTGTAATATGTTTTCCATTTTATCACCTAAGACCATGAAAACGCAAATACATCGATAAATACTATAGGAAAATACACCTCAAAGTCGGCGTTTTAATCCAAAAAAACGATCAGTTTTTTTTTCTCATTACGCACTGTGTGCTGCAGGATTTTTTTTATGTGGTGCACACTGACCACACAGACCCATTCTCTCACATGTGGGCCTACCAGCTTTCTTCCGCTTGATTTGAAGCCGCTAGAATTATTGAGTATATATACGTCTGAAACACTGGCTCGTAAGACGTATATATATGACCAAAACAGTCAAAGGGTTAAAGGATAATTACCAGCTAATACAGAGGAAAGTATAGCACAATCAACTTCAGTGGGTGGTATATTTCTATACACCATAGGGAGGTTTGCAAACCTCCCTGTGATATATAGAAATATCCCTAGTTGGATGAACCTCATTGGGCCAGCATGGTCCAGTGGATAACAAACTGGCCTGTGAGTTTTAGCTCCATCAATTCTGTGATTTATTTCCTGAATTATAATTTTAGAGTTTTTTTAATTGCCATTTCTAATAATAATGTACTTTTGAAAAATTTCAAAATTGGTTTTTAAAGCTTTAATTAAACAGTATTTTATGAGTGTTGGATGCTTCAGTTTCATGTTTAATGTAACTGAAAATTATTCAGAATTTTATTTTTATAATTGATTTCTGATTATATCTTCATTAGCAGTTTGGAGGGACATCTGAACTGTTATATCTGGGCACCTCTGCAACGACAGTGATGATGTATGAGTGAGGGTGAAAGTGTTGAATGATGAAAGTTTTTTTCCTTTCTTTTTGGGTCACCCTGCCTGGGTGGGAAACTGCTGACATGTTAAAAACAAAAAATCTTCTTTAGATTACTAAATTTGTAGAATGTTTTCAAATATTTGGGAGTTGACGTGTCAGTGGATGGGTTTATGAGGGATGAGGTTAACCATAGAATTGATGAAGAAAAAATGGTGAGTGGTGCATTGAGGTATATGTGGAGACAAAAAATGTTATCTGTGGTGCCAAAGAAGGGAATGTATGGAAAGTATAGTGGTACCAACACTCTTATATGGGTGTGAAGCTTGGGTTGTAAATGCTACAGCGAGGAGGCGGTTGGAGGCAGTGGAGATGTCCTTTCAAAGGGCAATGTGTGGTGTAAATATTATGCAGAGAATTTGAAGTATGGAAATTAGGGGAAGGTGTGGAGTTAATAAAATTATTAGTCAGAGGACTGAAGAGGGGTTATTAAGGTGGTTTGGTCATTTAGAGAGAATGGCTCAAAGTAGAATGACATGGAGAGTGTATAAATCTGTAAGGGAAGGAAAGTAGGATAGGGGTCTTCCTTGCAAACGTTGGAGGAAGTGGGTAAAGGTGGTTTTGTGAGTGAGGGGCTTGGACTTCCAGCAAGCGTGCATGAGCGTGTTAGGAGTGAATGGAGACGAATGGTTTTTGGGACCTGACGAGCTGTTGGAATGTGAGCAGAACAATATTTACTGAAGGGATTCGGGGAAACCGGTTATTTTTATATAGCCGGACTTGAGTACTGGAAATGGGAAGTACAATGCCTGCACTTTAACCCTTAAACTGTCCAAACATAGATCTACGTTCACGTGCAGGGGCTCCGAACATAGATTTATGTTTCTTTACATGCTTTCTAATGGGGAAAATAAAGGTTGGAGTGCTACGCATGTGAATGTAGATCTACGTTTGGACAGTTTAAGGGTTAAAGGAGGGGTTTGGGATATTGGCAGTTTGGAGAGATATGTTATATATCTTTATACAGTGGACCCCCGCTTAACGATCACCTCCAGATGCGACCAATTATGTAAGTGTATTTATGTAAGTGCGTTTGTACGTGTATGTTTGGGGGTCTGAAATGGACTAATCTACTTCACAATATTCCTTATGGGAAAAAATTCGGTCAGTACTGGCACCTGAACATACTACTGGAATGAAAAAAGTTCGTTAACCGGGGGTCCACTGTATATGCTTCTAAACTGTTGTGTTCTGGGTGCCTCTGCAAAGACAATGATTATATATGAGTGAGGTGAAAGTGTTGAATGATGAAAGTATATTCTTTTTGGGGATTTTTTCTTTCTCTTTGGGTCACCCTGCCTCGGTGGGAGATGGTCAACTTATTAAAAAAAAAAAACTATATCATATCTTATATGTACTTATTTATCCTCTTTTTCATAAAATATGTACTACTTATTACCAAACCTCTTTCTACACATAGTTCAATTAAC